TTCTGTTATGTTAGTCAGTCATAGGATTAGAGCTGCAGCTAAATGCTTTACCGCTTATCTCAGTAAGTCAATAACACTTTGATCATTCCCCTCCTCGTCTCTTCATGTAGACAACACTGTAACATACAGATCTTCAGTTTATTGTGAAATTACAAACACATGCTCACTTTTGGGAGGATGAAATCGGAGAACATTTGGCTGTTTGTTTGGAAACATTACTAGCAACTCCTAACATATTTTAATAGACAGACATGTATAAACCTGTCAGGTCAGGACATCATTAGGCTGAACGCGTGTCGGATGAGTCTGGTTCAACTTGTAGAGAGCCTGTGAGGCATGTTAATGGTTCTTGACGATGTCTGCAGTTGATTCAGCCGAGGTTTACAGACCTGATGAGTTTAAAGGGATCGCACGCCGTAAGTGAATAATCACTGCGGCTCTTCTCTCCCAGCTACCTGACCTACATTAAGCTGTGTACACTGGTGAAGAGGAATGAGAGCATGGCTCATACTCTCCAGGCCAAACTGAAGGAGCCCGAGGCCGACGAGAACAAGAGGGGGCCCCGTCCACAGGATCTCATCCGCCTGTATGACATCATCCTGCAGGTGAATGTCCTGTTATCAAGTTCTGTCTCTAAGTTGTGTGGTTCTATTGAAAAAGCAAAGGTCTTAGGTGTACAGCCTGATGTTTGTGTTACCACAGTTACATGATGTGCATCTTGTGTTTTTTTGTTTTTGTTTTTGTTTTTTTCCCCACCACCACCTCCTCCAACTATCCAGAGTCTGGCAGAGCTCTCCACCCTGCAGGGTCTGGAGGATGACCACACCTTCCAAAAGGAGGTGTCCCTGAAGACCCTGGTCTACAAGGCCTACAGGTCAGTGTTTTTGTGCCTGGTTTTCAACATGTTCTGCATCAAACAATGCAGCTGAAATTCAAACAGTGCAACAAGTGTCGTATTTACAATCGCAAATCCACCTGCGTCCTGATGTGAAAAGTATATCTAAGCTTTGTTCCATTTCAGATTTCCATGAAAGCTTCTGCAGTTCATAAACCCACATGTTGTTAATGAGCTGCTTTCTTTGGCCTCTTGCAGGTGTTTCTTTATAGCCCAGTCTTATGTGTTAGTGAAGAAGTGGAGTGAGGCGCTGGTGTTGTATGAAAGGGTGCTGAAATATGCCAAGGAAGTCCAATCTAAGGCCAAGAGCCTCAACAACAGCCTCAAGGTTGGTATAACATGCAAGCAAACACACACACACCTCAAACTCGAGTCAGGGCGTTACTCATTGTGGAGGCCTCTTTTCAAAGCCTCATCTTTATCTAGGTTGCCATTTTAGTTATTTACAACACATTATATTTAGACAAATAGATGTTATTAAAAAGCTTTATGGATCACAAAGATGTTGTTTGTTAGAAAAATGCAATGAGACCCAAACACACAGTACATCAAAGTTTAACAAAAATATCACTGCGCTACATTAATTTACATTCATCATGAATTTCTGCAGGATCTTCCCGATGTCCAGGAGCTCATTGCTGAGGTCAACGCTGAAAAATACTCACTTCAAGCTGCTGCCATTTTAGGTGCGAGCCTCTAAGTCGTTAAACAGTTAAACCAGCAGTCGTCTTCTCTGTTGTACAGTCCTGAAGAAACGTGTTTGTGTTTCAGACACCGATGAGATAGTTGAAGTTCCTCAGCAGCTGGTGAAAGACAACAGGGTAAGAGGAGGAAGCCTCAGGCTGCTCAACACTGCAGCCATACACATACACATGGTTGTTGCACGTTTGTGTCTGTACGAATAAAATAAACAAGCTCTGTGGATTAATTATTTATCGGTTATATTACTCCTGAAGAGCCGAGGTGAAGCTTAATTTGTATATTTGCGTCTAAGAAACTGCAACATAATAACTTGGAAAGTGGTTTTGATGTTGTCATTTCACTTTTTACATGTTTATTTATTTTTGTGATAAAACTTGATTTTTAGGAATTTTAATAACTGGAATAAGTTTGAGTGGATCTGTCACAGTCTGCACTGCAGTAACTTTAGTTGCATGAGTCAAAGTTCAAAATCTTATTTGTGTCGTGCTGGCCTTGGCCTAACGCGAGCCGTTTCTGCTCCTCTCACGTCAGGCCAGCTTTCTTCTGATTGGTTGCCAATCACAGACACAATATTTGAAGAACTAAGGGCGGGGCTTGTGCTCTAACAGACAGAGCTGAGATTAGGGATATCCTCTTTTTGGAAAATAAGTGTTTGGAGCAGCATGGGATTATTTGCACATGCTAATCTCATCATTTTAATTTTTGTCCATGCTTGATGTGATCTGCCATTTTAACATTTATGACAAGAAATGCAGTTTGATGGGGCATTCATCACTCCATTTTCTGCTGCTTTTTTATTTTATTTTATTTATTTATTTCTTAATTTAGCTGAACTTTCTGTTCCCTATGATTCCAGTGCTCTCATTTCCTCACTTCTTTTTCACGCAGCCCCTCTGTGACCACCTGGAGACCTTCCGCTTTGACCCCAGTCTCGTCGGAAAACAGCCCAGTCTGGTCCAGTTTCCACCCGACTTCCAGCCAATCCCCTGCAAGCCTCTGTTCTTTGATCTTGCTCTTAACCATGTGGCCTTCCCACCGCTGGATGACAAGGTGGAACAGAAGGGCAAGGGCGGTCTGACTGGCTACATCAAGGGCATTTTTGGCTTCGGCAGCTAAACCTAAACCCACACTTCAACCTCCATGTGAGAGCCACAGGGCCCAGAGTTTACTGCAACCAGCCAGAATTGGGTCAGCTGTTAGTTAGAATCATTTCAGTTTGTCTTTTATGTTTAATTTTTAGTGCCTATGTGCAGAGGGGTTGGAGTTGGCAGTTCTGAGGAAGACTGAGTCAATATAGTCTTCTCGGAAAGATAGTAGCACTATGACCCAAGTCCACATCCAGCTTCAGTAATCGTATCAGCCTGCATGGCTTCACAGCATACAGGCTCCCTCCTTAAACTGAGCAATGGAGGTGTTGGCAACTTTTAACACATTAATATGCTGTGGTTTTGATGAGTGAAGTCAAGCTGTCAATCTCACTGTCTAGTAAGATTACATTTTTTCCCTCTTGTGTTTTAAATGCACCTTCATATTGTGTGTTTTTTTTTTTTGCCTTTTGTAAATGGATTGTTCTGCATTTTTCTTAGCCCTCTAAAAACAAAAAGATATGTTTTGATCTCACCAGCCTCAACATTAATTACAAGACCTATAGCTGACCAAACTGTAATCATCTGTATGATTTCATCAGTCATCACAAACTAAAGTTTCTCCTCTTAATCTTTGCCCTTGTTGCTTTCACAGCATAAAAATCCTCATAAACACTGTACAGCCACAAGACCTTGTGTTGGGACAAGAAATGTCAGCTTGCTCAGGTGCCTAAGAGTGTACTCGCACTGAGCTGCTCCTCCCAGCGTCCAGCTGTTTTGACCAGTGTGTGCCTGTTAGAAGAAAACAGGTGGCCATGGGTCCGTAGCTGAAACGCTGCTTCAACATCTCAGTTATTAACCAATAAATCACTGGTAGATAAAGGCACGTCAAAGAACAAGGTTTCACTGTAAGTGTGCCTGTCTTTAACTTTAAATTCTATAACGTGAACTGTAGCACGTGTCTCTGAGTGGAGAGGAGATGTTTGGGTTTGGGTTTGAGTTGGAATTGGATGTTCATCTTCTGAGCTTCAGCTCCATACTCGGGCCTGAAGCACATTTTGAGTGCAGGCACACGAGGACAAGTGTGAGTACACCTTTAGTCCTTTAGTTGTTCCACTTGGTTGTGATTTAGTAGCGGTGAGGATCCGAACATGTACAACATCCAGTTCCTCCTAAGTGCCCTGTGGGTGGGCACCACATCATAACAAACAAAGCTGTCACTGTCAAAGGTGTAGGGTTGTCCATTAAGCTGTCGCTCATCTGCAGATGTGATGTACTTTTAATAATCGCAAGAAGGAATTTTTCCGGTCTGTGGTTTTCTGTTTTTTCTTCTCTGTCGTCCCATGTCATTGCGCCAAAGCCTCTCGAAACCCAGCCTCTGACTTCAGGAAACTGGGACAGGGCTAGCATGACTAATGACAAAGCTATGAGTCACAGTTTTAAATCATCCTTTCTGAATAAAAGAAGCTGGATTGGCCAGTGTTTTTTATTTCTTTGGTAGTTAGAGTCTAAACTCACCAGGCAGTTCATTAGATGCACTAACCAGCTAGAACTAAAGCAGTCACATACAACACACACTGCAGTAAAAGGCTGCTTATTTACAGTCATAATAATGGTGGGATTCCCTCCATGACAGTTGTGTTATCCTGCTTTAGTTTTAGCTACTTGGTTTATTTGTACTTTGTTGCATTTTTCTTGCCCTCAAACTTGACGTCTTGTCAAAGGTCCAACTGCTTCAATAGCTTCATCTCGCTGGAAGTAGAAAGCTCTTTAAAGGTCCCTCTGCTACATATTTTCAAATGGTACCTGCTTGTTGATGGCAGGTTCAGCTCATGAGACTGTAATCTGTTACTGTAAAGCTTTTAACGGTGTGTATTTATCTACAAAGGACAGTGGCAGACATCAGGACGCTGAAGGAGCTGTTGGCAGCCTTTCATTCATCGCATTGCCAACACCACACATCTGTCTGTCTGTCTGTCTGTCATGGGAAGGACTACAAAAATGTTTTCATCACCTTTGACATGTCTGTGGATTTTCTGTTTTACATGTTCGGGATGTATTGAAACCCCTGATCTTTATGTGACCTGGTTTGCCTGTGAGACTTGTTGAAACACTAGGAAAGGACAGTTTCAGTCTCACTAACATGTTTAACTTTTTTTTTTTTTGCTTAATTTTGTCTTCATCCCCCCCTCTTCCCTACTCAAGTGTTTTTACGCTAAGTAAGATGGATGGGCTGGAACAGTTCCAGCACTTTACCTCGATTAGCCTGGAAAACAAAATAGCTATAATCTGTAGATGCTGGAAACGTTTGTGTGTGTGACGAGAGTAATGAAATGAGGGGATCGTATGATTTCATGTAATTTCCAGCCTGGTAATTAAAGTATATTTGCACCAAATGCTGTTTTTGTCAATTTTCATTCACATTTTTCTTTTTGGCTGTATTTATTTTGATTTGGCATAGTTTCTGATTGCTAAAGAACTGCTATTAAACTGAGGTGTTCTGAGGACGGTAGGCATGGAGGTGTGTGTGTGTTCAGTTGTTCCTGTGTTAGGGTGTGGGAGTGCATTGGATTCCTGAGCAGGGTGTGAATGTTTAGCTTTACTTTGTTTGTGCACTGAAAAGTGAGAATAATGATATAGGTGTGTTTATTAACCTCGATCTGACATCAGTGGGGGGGGGGGTTTCTTGGAGGGGGCGGGTCTCCCCATCTCCTAACCAAGAATATTCCGTGGTAAAAAAGTCCCCCCAACCCACACACGCGCACTGTTACCGTAGTATTTCAGAAATATGTACTATTTAGAATAGATTGAAAATATTTAAGCCTTTATGGGGTGGAGATGAATGCTTATCTGCAGAACAAAACCAAAGGGTAAAACTGTTGAACAACATTCTGTGTTACTGAATTATCGGCACAGATTTTTTTTTTCTTGCGCATTTTCCTCCAAGAGAGGTCCAGAATTTAGAATAACCATCAAAGCTGGGATGTGAGATTTACTTTGTAAACCAGACAGCTGTGCTGTGTGTAAGGTGAATGAAGAGGCTGGCACACCCTTGCAGTGTCTCTGCCTTTGTTGTTTCTTCTCTGTTCAGCTGTTTGGAATTTACAGGTATACAGATACGTAGTTGCTACATTAATGTGTCTCAAAATGAGCTGCAGGATGTGTGTGAACAGCAGGTTTGACATCGGAGAAACGCCTGACCTTTAATCCCGAGGAATCTTAATGATTGCGGTGATTGTTTTTCCGTGAGTCCTGCTTTCCACGAGGTCTTGCATTTGTGGAAATTTGTCTCCCTGCTCAGGGGGCATTTGTCACTAAAAAACACGAGTGTTTTAAGGGGAGGGGTGCACACCAGCATTTTTCTTGTGTTTTTTGTTTTTGTTTTGTTTTTTCCCCTCTTATACAGGTTTAAGTATATGTTTTCAAAAAACATACAAAATTAATAAAAACTTGAATGGAAAAAATAAACACGTGTTGTCATGCTCTTCAGGGATGCTGGGATAAAGCAGATTTTTTTTTATTCTTCCTGTTATGATTGCCACAAATAAAAATCAGCATTTTTAAAACACTTTTAGGAGTTTTCATGATGAATTAGAGCAGGGGTGGGGAACTCCACGCCTCAAGGGCCGGTGTCCTGCAGGTTTCAGATATCACCCTGGGTAAACACACCTGTATCAAATGATTAGTTCATCGCCAGACAACTTCAAGGCAGGTTGAAGAGGTAATTTAGCCATTTAAATCAGCTGCGTTGGATCAAGGACACATCTAAAACCTGCAGGACACTGGCCCTTGAGGCCTGGAGTTCCCCACCCCTGATATAGAGGAAAATGACCCCTGTCTATGTGTCATTTTCAGTAGCTCACTTGAGGTTTAAGATGAAAGTATCGCTACAGTTTGTTACCTGGGTGCAACCACAATATACAATATATGTGAGCAAGTGAAAAAGTATGTTACTCCAGACACGTAGATCCACCCAGAGAGAAACGTTGTGTGACTGGATCAATGAGCACAGCGTGCTCTCGCTGTTGCAATGAAAGCTGCTTAGCTACATTTTTTCTCGTGATTTCTAATTGTTGCTATGCAGCAGAGAGACGCCCTGATCTGGAATAACTTCCACGTCTTTAGATGCTGCACACTAAACGTTCCAGTGTATGGGGCAACCTGTAATCAGCAGATTTATGGCATGTACCACTATATGAAAGTGTTATGTAACTTACTTTCTGACCCTTTGGATGTTCCACTGTTGACTGTACACACAGTGTCCCTCAGTGTTTGTGGCACAGGTCTGCTCCAAGCTTTGACTCAGGCTTAATAGTGAGGAGTCAGGGTGACATAGCCAAATAAGAACGACTTAATTTCCTTGTCATAAATTCAGGAATAAAGGCTCAAGGAAGAAGAAGGAAAAATCAGAAAAGGGGGCGGGAATTGACCTCACTGTGTAAACTATCGTCTCCTGAATATTCTCATTAATTTGGAGCTCTCAGATTGAGAATGCTGTGTTTTTTTAGTTATGGTTGCAGAGAAATTTCTTGCATATACTAATGCATCAAGTGTCTATTGTCTGGCAGTAGATAGAGTTTTCTAGCATGCAAGACATAAACCTATAAACGAAATTGTCCCAGCAGATGTCACCTTTAAATAAGTCAGTGCGATTTTTATGAGGTATTTAGTCTCTGTTTATGTTTCCTTCATGGTTGTGTGATTATTCTCCAGCACATTTCTTTCCGGGATAATAAATATATCCTTTATTCCTGATCCCAGGGACTTAACAGGATACAGAGGTAGAGAAACATGGGATAACATAAAGACCATTTGTTCTGCGTCCACTTATCACTCACACATGGAATCACTTCTTTCTTTAATTATTTTACTGCTGCAAATTATTTCTACACACGTCTTCCATATAAATGTTTAATGTTCTAATACTCAAGTAAAATGTAACTATAATAAAGGAAGGTGTGGTTGAAAGTAATTAGCTGTTACACATATATTTAGAATAATGGATGCTCATATATAACATGAAGCAGGTTATTAGTAATGAGGTCAGCATGTAAACCCAATGCTCAGTTTCAGACAGATAACAGGCCGAGAGGATCATCTCGGGCACACAGCTCTGATGTGAACTCCTCTTTAGGAGTTAAAACAGGTTGTTTTAGAGGTCCAGTTTCAGTCCAGGGATAAGACAAATAATGATTGTTTAGAACTATGACTCATACAAAGCTAGGAAAAAAAACAGTCCAAAAATAAAACCATTGAGCTGGAAATGAGGATGACCTTTTAATAATTATCACACATTTTCTTTTTCACACAGCATGTCCTCATACTGGTTTCCTCCCCTCACCCCAACCAGTCACAGCACATGGCTGCCTCCCTGAGCCTGATTCTGCCAGAGGTTTAAAAGTTTTTCCTTGCCACTGTCGCCAAAGCACTTGCTCAAAGAGGGGTCATATGACTGTTGGGGTTTTCTCTGTATTATTATAGGGTTTTTACCTTACAATAAAAGCAACTTGAGCCACTTGTCATTATGACAAAGACAAAATTCAATTAATGGCAGTCCAAAAAAGAGATTTAATCTACACTGGGAGAAAAAAAAATGTTAAAAATTGTAAAAATGCCTTTCAGACAGATCAACAGTGACCTGTTATGCCAAAACCCCTCCTGTGCTACATATTTCAGATATTTCAGAGCTGTAACTGTCCTTCTTCAAAAGTAAAAATGTATTTACAATGCAAATTTTACACGCGATTAAAAAGGAAACAAATTGCAAAGATTACACAAAAATAATATATTCTTTTTAAAAATATGGATAAGTAAATAAAAATATATAAGATGGGATAAAATAAATAAAAGGGGATAATGCTATATTGATTCTAAATTAAATGTAATATTCATTAGCCGTATGCGTCACTTTACACAATGTGGATTACACATATGGCAAAACCTTGAAAATATAAGTGTGGTTGTGTGTGTGTTTTGCCATGCTCACAAGGTTTC